CAGCCCCACTCCACCCCTCGGATCAGGACTGAGCCCTGGTGACATAACAGAAGGAAAGACAATGTGGATCTTTGTTCTCGAGGCAAGCTCATTCCATTTCAAGCCTTTTCTTTATCTTGAGCTGGTCTTTTCTGAGTGTATTAAAATGCACTTTCTTTTATTTATTTATTTTCCAGTTGCCTTGGGTCTCGGTTGCTGCACACACGCTTTCTCCAGTTGCAGTGAGCGGGGCTGCTCTAGTTGTGGCACACGGGCTTCTCACTGCACTGGCTTCTTTAGTTGCAGCGGAGAAGGCAGTGGCACCCCACTCCAGTCCTCTCGCCTGGAAAATCCCATGGACGGAGGAGCCTGATAGGCTTCAGTCCACCGGGTCGCTGGGAGTCGGACACGACTGAGCGACCTCACTTTCACTTTTCATTTTCATGCATTGGAGAAGGAAATGACAACCCACTCCAGTGTTCTTGCCCGAGAGAATCCCAGGGACGGCGGAGCCTGGTGGGCTGCCGTCTGCGGGGTCGCACAGAGCCGGACACGACTGACGTGACTCGGCAGCAGCAGCAGCTTCAGTGGCAGAGCACAGGCTCTGCAGTTCCCGTGTGCAGCTCTTAGGGCACACGGGCTTCGCGAGTTGAGTACACAGGCTCAGGACTTGGGGCGCGTAGGCTCAGTGGCTCCATGGCATGTGGAGTTGTCCTGGACCAGGGATCAAACCTACATCTCCTGCACTGGCAGGCGCATTCCTATCCACTGTGCCGCCAGGGAAGTCCGAAATGTCCTTTCTTTCATAAAATCATGTAATAGTAAATAATATTTAAAAAAATCGTTACTTGATAGAATTAAAAGCTGGCAGCTCTGTGTCTATTCCCCAAAGTTAAGGAGTCATAGCTGGGTGATGGGCACATGTGTATTCACTATACTTTTCTCTCTACTGTTGAGTATGTGTGAAATTTTTCATATAATTTTTTTAAAAGTCGAGATGGGTTGAAAGTTGAAATATGAAAAATCAAATTACAAAGGGATTAGGGAGAAAAAGGGGAAGGTGGTGATCTGAGACATCTAGAAGTTTTATGATGGTGAGGCCAATGCAGAACTTTGAAATCACCGTCCTCCGTGAAGCCTGTCAATGGCTCCCCGTGGTCCTCAGAAGATAGGCTGAACTCAGATGCCTTCTCTTCCAGGAAGTTCTCCCTGACTTCAACCCTTCTAGTTAGGCTAGGAGCTCATCGTAAATGGAAACTTTGGGTGCTCACTTATGTTGGGTGAGGGACTGCATTATTTCATTTAATTATAGTGCAAATGGCTTTGTGATCCACCTGAGTCTGGGATGGAGAAGTCTGAAGCAGATACCAGCGAGTCCTTTGATGATGAATGAGTAAAGCGATTCAGGGATCAGTGGGTGGCAGGGCCAACTCCTCCACAGGAGGGCAGTCCCAGCCCTGGTTGCCCCCTCCTGCCCACACACTTAGAGGTGTCCCTCTAGGCACCAATCCCTGTCAAAAACAACACTGACCTGTGACAGAAAACCTGAATAGGGACATGCATATGCAAGAAACAGACCAGACTGAAGAGGATGAAGGCTTTGTGCTGGATTCTTTGGAAAGGAAAGGCAGGAGATAAATAGGCTTAAGACTTCCTCACCAGATAGAAAGTAACATTGGAAGAAGGAGACAGTCCCAGGTGCAGAGAAGGGTCACACCAAGGACAATTCTCAGAGCATCTGGTCAATCAGAAAGGTCAGGAGGTCTTTTTTTTTTTTTTTTTTTTTAGGAGGTCTTTAAAAAGTGTTTTGTTTTGTTTTTTTAAATTTTTGGCCACCCCAAGTGGCATGTAGGACCTTAGTTCCCTGACCAGGGATTGAACCCACTAACCCTGCATTGGAAGGTGGAGTCTTAACCACTGGACTACCAGGGAACTCTCTAAAAAGAGTTTTTAATGAAATTAACAAGTATTTACTGAGCATCTACTGAGCTGGTAAAGAATCCTCTTGCAATGTGGGCAACTTGGGTTCGATCCCTGGGTTGGGAAGATCCCCTGTAGAAGGGAACGGCTACCCACTCCAATATTCTGGCCTGGAGAATTCCATGAACTATACAGTCCATAGGGTTGCAAAGGGTTAGATATGACTGAGCAACTTTCAATTCAATTCACTGTGTGCTAAGTACTAGGTACTGGGGTGAAAAGAGAGTGAAAGTGTTAAGTCACTTATCCATGTCTGTCTCTTTGCGGCTCCATGGACTGTGGCCCACCAGGCTCCTCTGTCCATGGAATTATCCCAGCAAGAAAACTGGAGTGGGCATCTATTCCCCTTTTTCAGGGGATCTTCTCAACCCAGGGATCAAGCCCATATCTCTGACGTTGCAGGCAGATCCTTTATTACCCGAGCCCCCAGGGACGCCTCTGTGGCACAGCAGCAAATAAAGGAAAAACTAACCTCACGAAGCTTCTGCTCCAGCGGATCTAGAAACAAAGCTGCATTTTCAGTCCTGATCACACGGTCCATCTTACACTTAATGTTATTGAAAGCACCACATTGTATAGAGAGTGCTTTTACTGTCCTGGGGTTGCCTGCAGCCTCTCCTGTGCTCCAGGGCAAGCCTCTCTGGTCTAGCACTACTGACGCTGCACTACCTTGCTGCTGTTAATCCAAACCATCCATTCTAAAGTATGGCCAGCCCTGAATTTGCTCTCTGTTGCAAAGAAGTTTTTCCTTTGCTTATCCTCCAAAGCTGCCATGAGTCCCTCCCTCCCATTCTTTCCCCCCAGACATGCTTCTGCAGTTCCCTGCTTCTCCCCCACCCACCCAGGTTATCTGTATATAGATCCCTCTCCCTAACCCTCTGCATATCTTTTTGAACTTGTTGCAATCTTTTTTGTTGGATCTTAGTTCCCAGATTAGAGATTGAACCTGTGCCCTCGGTAGTCAAAGTGTAGAATCCTAACCACTGAACTGCCAGGGAATTCCCTGGCTTCAATCTTGAAATGAATTCTTCACTAGCTGTAGGGCTTTGGGCAAGGCTCCGAGCCTCTCTCAACAGTAGGATCAGGCAAGTAATATTCATCCTTGCTTGCTGCCTCTCTAGAGGCCCGATACCCTTCAGGGCATGGACACAGGCGGTGTCACCATTATCTATTATCACTGGTACTTTACAGATACGATCTGGAGATTTAGCTGTTGTTGAGTCGCTGCAGCACGCCAGGCTTTCCTGTTCTTCACCATCTGCCGGAGCTTTCTCAAACTCATGTCCATTGAGTCAGTGATGCCGTCCAACTATCTTGTCCTCTGTGGTCCCCTTCTCCTCCTGCCCTCAATCCCAGCATCAGGGTCTTCCCCAATAAGTTGGCTCTTTGCATCAGGTGGCCGAAGTACTGGAGCTTCAGCTTCAGCATCAGTCTCTTCCTGGAGACTTAGAGGGGTTAGATTACCCAGCCAAGGTGGCTCAGCCAGTATGAATGTGTAAATTCCTTCTGGGCCTCAGTTAATTAAGGGTAAAATGGGGATGATGATTCACCAGCAGTGAAGTCTTTCTGAGTCGGCTTCCAGCTGCAGGTTTGCCGAAGGTGTGAGCTGGGGCACTGGCATGTCTGCACCAGAGACCCAGCTCCCCAGGCACTATTTGTGTGTGTTGAGTCGCTTAGGTAGTGTCTGACTCCTTGCGACCCTATGGATTGTATGCCACCAGGGTTGACCCAATCCAAGCTGGGCTCTTTTCTCCCTGCCATCTGGCACGGGCGGGGGGTGGTGGTGGTGGGGCGGTGGCGCTCAGAGAGTCTGAGTCAGGGAGGTGGAAGGCCAGCTGGGGCCGAGGCAAAGGGGTGCAGAGGGGAGCACTGGCAAGGCAGCCCCGTGGCCAAGCCCTGTCACTTTGCTCAGGCCTGGACTCTGGGGGGTAGCTGGGGGAAGCCCCACAGTAAAAGCCTGCCTCCGCTCCTTGCTCCGGAGTGATCATCCCTGACCAAGCCAGTGCCCCCAGAGACACCTGCCACAGTCTCCCTGTCCGGAGCCCTCGTTGCCAACCTGCGCCGAGCCCCGCGGCTCTGTCCTCCGTGGCCCGTGGGTGGAAATGTCACCTGCTCACCACCATCGCTCTGTGGCCTCTTCACTTGTGCTGCTCAGGTGGAGTCCAACGTCCGGGACCCTCTGCTCCTGCGTACCCCGGCCGGCGGGGCACAGAGCGAGTGTTCACTAGATTTGAAGAAGCAGCTTCTGCATAAATTCTTCCGCAAGGCAAAAGGAAGACCCCCCGTAATCCATCCAGTTTTCCTCCCCAGCAGAGGCGGGTGCACAGATAGGAGTACCTAGCACACCTTGTCTTCACATCTCCTGGTACAAACTCCACCTTTCGGGGAAAGGGACGCTAACCGCCAACTTCCCCGCTCCCTCCCCAACTTTATAAAATTCAGCCGTGGAGAATGCGGGCATCGATCCCGCTACCTCTCACATGCTAAGCGAGCGCTCTACCACTTGAGCTAATTCCCCAGCTCTCAGCGAACTTCCGCCAGGGAAACACATGGTGGCTCACGTCATCACCGGTTTCCTCCAAGCCCTCCGGCCTGCCTGCCTGCCTGCGGGTCTCGCTACCCCATTGGTTCTTGTACAGCTCCCAGACCTCCTGCCACGATTGGCTTGGCTCACTTTAGTTTTAAAAAGCATTGGCCATCCGATTGGTGGCCCCAGACGTCCGTCAAGAGAAGGCCCTGCTGTTGCTATGGCGTAGTTGGGGGGAACCCAGCCAAGGTTTCCCTCGGTTTCTGATTTGTTGGCTCCAGACTCCGGGGTCCTAGAGGTTCCGGATCCGTCAAGTCCATGGGAAAAGAATGCGCCCCCTCGCCCTTGACGGACAGCGTCCGCGAGCCAATCGGAGTGGGCTCAACGGGGCCGCAGGGTGATCCAATAGGCGGCAGGGGGCGGGAGAGGAAGGCCAATGAGCGCGGAGCCGGGGGCGGGGGCAGGGCCTTGATTGGCCGCGAGGCGCTCGGAGGGAGGGCGGGGGGAACTCAAGGCCTGCTTGATACGTCCGCCATTTTGGGCGCTTCGCTGATGGTGTCGGTGAGCGCGTTTCCCGCCTGAGCGCAACTAGCGGCGAGTCGCGGGCACCTCCAGGTAANGGGGGGGGGGGGTGGTCCTTCTCTCGGCCGCAGGTACCTCCCTCTTAAAGAAGCCCTTTCCCCGCTACCTTGGAGGGGTTTCCTGCGGTCCGGCTTGCTCTGACCACAGCTTGGACTCTTGGTTGGAGGTGGACGGCATGAGTCCTTGGATGCACCTGTGTGTCTTGACGTCTCACCCTCCGAGTTCCGAGTAATTTCTGTACTTAACTCATTTTCTCTGTGGGTCGGATCGAGCTTTTCTGTTTTGCTTTTCTGGGAGGGCGCTTGGGGGTTGTTTTATCGTCACAGCACTTGTGAATGTGGCTGTTTTGTTAACGTGGAATTGACTGCGATTTTGTTCTCAAGGTCACGTTGTATGTAGGCAGCAAGTGGGAAAGAGGCTCTAGATTTCGAGCCGCTGGAAAATCCACTTAAGGGGTGGTGTTGGAGCTTCCTTTGCTGTCGAGTTAGACGGCGTGGTTTCCAAATCTTGACTTCACCACTTTCTGGCGCTGTGACCTTGGGCAAGTCCCTCAACCTCTCTGCTTCTTCTGTAATACGGGAATAACAGTGTCTGCCTCAGAATTCTGTCGGGAGGAAATGAGTTAATATGTGTAAAGCAGCTAGAAACGGTGCCTGGCGTGAGGAATATGCTTAGCAATTAGTGGCTATTATTAATTTGGATTTGATTTTTAAATGTTTAGATATATTGGGAAGTCACGTGAGTGTCTAAGTCCTGGCTTTTGGTGACTGTCTTTAGAAAGCTCTGTGTTTTTAAGAGTCTTTCGGGCTGAGAGTCACCCAGGAGAGGGTGGCTGAGGATTGATTACCTTTACAGACGTTTTCTGGAGTCATTAGTGGTGATGCCTCAGACTGGCTTGTTGAAGAGATGGTTAAATAAAAGCCCACCCGGAGCTCACGTCAGATTCTGTTCCTCCTGTACTTTTGAATACCACTTATTGCGTGTGATTGGCCCCCAAATCAGTAGTAACTCCAGAATTTCTTAGTGTACTCCTGGGCTTTAATTGAGGTTTGAAAAGTTACGGTGTATTGAGATATTCTTCAGCGAAGATAGTTTGGGAAATAACTGTGGTCCTGGGTGGATGCTTTCAAAGTTATTTTGCATTTCAGTTATGTTTGATCAGAGAGTCTAGAATATTTAACAGAATGCCATCCACTCATGCATCTACTCAGTCTATTGATTCCTGCCCTGTGCTCTTCTCCCTGCTGCTTGAAACCAGGCTTGTCCTTCCCCTGGAATTACCTGCTTGGGACCTGGCTGGCTTTGTTGCCCTGGGAAATGTTATTTTGATAGACTCCGTCTTAAGTAGAGATGAACATCTTGCTGGTGTAACTTACTGAAGAACAGGAAGAAGATTGTTTTAGATTAGAAAACTATCTTTTGTGTAAAGAGTAACAGAACAAAACTTGCTGGTTTCAATTAACTGCCTGGCAATTTGAGAATCAGACCATAACTGGACAGAAAATGAGTAGTGATGAAATTAAGGCCTGACAGGGTGAGGTTTGCTTAGTCTCTTTGAAATAAATTTTGGCACTGATGTGGGACAGAGATAATGTGCTTATTAAAGATAAGACATCTTCCTTAAAACAGTATTTGTCAGGATTGGTAGTTAGTTTGCTTCTTTGATAAACTTGTATCTGTGGTTTTATATTTTGAATATTTGAGAGATAGCCTGAGTATATATTCATCTAAAATTTTACACTGCTTTCTTACTGATATAGAATTGTTAAGAATGGTAGTGGCAGTGAAGTTCTTGTAACCATCTGCTCAATTAAAACTCAGCACTGAGTTTATTTACGTACAAAGCACAAGAGGCTGCGGTTGGTTCTCATAAGTCAAGATCTGAGCCCTGGTGTGGCCGAGTGGAGTTGACTGCTTTTTCTTAGGTGAGCTGAATGGAAAAAATAGACCTGATCTCTTGGCTTTAGGAAGTTTTTTTTTTCCTTTCTTAAGGGAGCCTCAGATGACTGGGTTTTTATTTACTCTAGAGCAGTAGTTCTCAACTTGAGGGGGGTGGATTTTGCCCCCAAGAATCATCTGGTGATGTCTGGAGAAATAAATTTTGCTTGTCACATTTGTGGGGTTGGGCAGTGGCTTCTAAAGGGTAGAGACCAGGGATGCAGCTGAACACCCTGTGATGCACAAGACGGCAACCTCTCCCCTCAACAGAACGTCAGCCAGCCCCAGATGGCAGTAGTGCTGAGGTCGAGAAACCCTGCTGTAGACAGATGCTGGTCTGACCTGCTTTGGGATCGTTTGGAATACTTTTCAAGACCGTGGGGGATGGACCCCATGGTCCATGTGTGGTGAGAGTGAGAATGTTTTTAAAAGCTCCCAAGTAATACTGATGTGCAACTAGGTTTTGAAACCACTAGACCACAGATTTTAGGACCTACGTGTGGGTCAAGGAATTCTGTTATCTGTGAGCTCTGTCTGTACCTCGATCCTACTTGGACATGACTTAGTAATGGGGAAAGATGATATACATATGTTATTTTCAGGTGCCTGAAGACTGAACTTAAAAATTTTTTTTTAATTTTATAAAGTAATTGGGAAACTTTTTTTTTTTTCTGTTGCTTCATGAGAATCCATGAACATACTGTGTTGAAACTTACCACTCTCAGATGTTCAGGGCTCTTAATGGCTATTCTAAATAGCCTTATCCTGCGGTGATTTTTGAGTTTTGTCTTTTTTTGCCCTCGTCCTGTCAGTCAGCTGTCAATTCTGTTTTTAGATGCCAGCTTCATTATTATTATTATTTTAATGAAGGCCTGTTTTCAGAGAGTTAGCCCTGGATTGATTTGCCAGATCTGCCCTTGGCAAGGCAAGAGAGAGGCAGATTGTATGCTTATCTTTTAACACGGTGACCCTTGCTTGCTCCCGTAGGGGGCTTGCCTGAGCCCTGGACTCTGACCCGAGTGGGTGAGTGTTTTTGCCTCTGGGGAGATAAGTGCAGTGAAAGAGAAATCCTTTTCTCTCACATCCTTAGAATATGGACGATCCTAGTGTATTGAGTGGGAAGAATGTTACTATAAAACTACAGATTTTTGCCAACTGAATGTTAAAGTCTGGATGTATGAAAGGAAGATCCGGGAGACTAATCCTTCGTCCTGAAGTTTGGTCCATGGCTATGCGTCGGTGAGTTCGCAGAGGCGGACACGACTGAGCGACTTTCACTGAGATGCTGAGAATGACAGGTGACCACTCCGCTGTCTGTTTGTTCTGTGTGAGTAGTCGCTCAGTTGTGTCTGACCCTTTGAGACCCCGTGGACTGTAGCCTGCCAGGCTTGCCTGTCCATGGGATTCTCCAGGCAAGAATACTGGAGTGGGTTGCCATTTCCTTCTCCAGGGGATCGTCCTGACCCAGGATCGAACCCACATCTCCTGCATTGGGAGGCAGGTTCTTTATCAGTGAGCCACCAGTGAAGCCCCTAAACCGGAGGTTGTTTCTGTCTTGCATGTATATTCGTGTTGTTTTTAAATTGCTCATAAGAGATATCATGCAGTATCACACAAGTCTCCTCCACTCCTGGCTGCCCTAAACCCAGTGCAGTGCTGTGGCATGGAGGTGGTGGGAACAGAGCATTACCAGGTAGATAATGGGATCCTTCACAGGAAAGCCATGAATGTTGCTATCTAGTCTTCATTTATTTGATCAGCAAATATATTGAATCCTTGCTCTGTCAGGAACAGTATTAGGGGTTCACTCATGAACAGGCATTTAAGGACTTTCAGTCTTTGGGGGGAGGCAGCACCGACAAGAGACGTCCTTTGCACTGAGGCCAGATAACTCAGCTTGTGAACTGAGTAATGTGGTGTAAGTAAGCAGAATTTTAGTGAGAGGCCCTAAAGGCTTCAGAGGAAAGAGCTTGTAATTGTTGGTTGGGTGGTTTGAGATTGCCAGAAGTCTGTTGCCAAAGAATGAAGTAGTTACACCTTTGTTTCTCATAGGTATTAAATAGTTAACTTCCACTTCCCTCCTTGGTTTGGTTTGTCTTAAACAGCAATGCTGTTATTCTTCCTGTGCTGGTAAAGCTGTTTTGTAATGACAAATAGGATTGACCTGTGTTGTCTTTTGCTCCATAGATGTTGGCTGTCACTTCATCAGACCTGAAAAGCTCACTTTCCCTACAGATCAGAGGCTTGGTGTAGATTCATGCTAAACATCTTGATTGTCCTTGAAATCCATGGTGCTTCCAGTGGGAATGGGTTTTTTCCCCTGCTGCAGTCTGGGTTGAGGTGACTGGAGATTTGTTTTTGTGGCCTTTTGACTTTGGCTTAGATTTAGTTGCTGCGGAAACCCCCTTTCTTCCTCCCTCCCCCTTTATTTTTCTTTACTGGGAGGAGAGAAAGTTACTATTCGGATCAATCCCCAGTTTGTTTCACGTTTTGGATGTTTATGAACTGACATCTGGTTATCAGGTAGATTGGCTAGATGGTAAAGAAGCAAGTGAAAGGGAACCTTGGCAGTACTTGAAAGGCTTCCTACCTTAATTGGTACATTTTTGTGTCACAGACTCGACGAAGATCTGAGTAGAGGCGGTTTACTACTTCTCACTTCCGCTGGCTAGTGTTGACCTGTTTTACTAAGTATTAGTGAAGACTCCACAGTTGACTGATTTTATATAAATAAATTTGAATAGATTATGAACATCTTTCCTGATACAAAGAGACTCTTATTTTGTACTTCTTGGCAATTCTGGAGAAAGCTAGGGTATTGTTAGTTCCAAAATTTCTTGCAGAGGGAGTGTGTATTGATTTGGAATAGTTTGTGTGCCCCAGAGGCTGACTGCCATGAAATCTGGGGGCCCAAAGGAAAGATGAATGAGATTTTTTTTTTTTTGAAGCAGTAGGGAGCAGCACTAAAAAGGTTGCAGAAAAGTGAAAACTGCAGAAATAAAAGTATGACTGAATGTTGAGTCAGACTTGGAGAAAGCTGTGTGGATCACTGGTGAGAGCCTGAAGTTCCCTGTCCTTGTGTGTAAATCTGAACA